ACCATTAAAACAGTAGGAATTCTTTCCTACATTTTTTTATTTTTCCCTCATACTTTACAGCTTTTATCCATTTTTAACTATATACTTTGTCATATCCGCTTCAGCATGACTTTTTTTCTAGGCGGATGTTTCCTACAGTAAAAGTGTCCATATCAAACATAGACGTCGATGGTCTCTATTACATATTTCTAGACGTCATTCCGGTTGACAACAAAAGGTTGGTGAATAAACGATTATTTCCTTCTTCATCGGAAAAAGCGAAAACAAAAATGTTAGTAACCAGCAGAACAGTAGGAAAGTGATAACTTGTCACTTCAGGCTCTAAGAAAATTCGCTTACGTTATGATATTGGTAAAGCATCGGTAAAAGATTCAAAAATAAAAAACGAAATGGATTTAGGTATCGCTACATCTACAACAAATCAGCATGGCTAACTGCCGGAAAAGCTGAACCAGCACCAAAGAATCGTTTGTACTTGCATCCGGATTCACCGTATACAGGTGAACAGGTGAGAGCATTTAAGTTGATGAAATAGTTTCACTATTTTCAAAATTGTTTTTACTTCTCCTCATCAATCACCTCTCATTACAGCTGTTGAAACAAGTGGTATCGTTTGAAAAAGCAAAACTGACCAATAATGAGATAGACAAAGCTGGTCATGTGAGTTAAATCGTTCAATGCTAACGTTACAATATCAAATACACTCAACTTTAGTTGATCTTGAATTCTATGCACAAATATCAGCCGAGGATTCATGTTGTACGACGAAATAAAGGGCAACATTTGGATCAAAATAAGGTGAGTTTCATTCTTGCTAGGCTCTACACCACAATACATCATTTTAATACCTCATTTCCAGGTCAACTTAGCAGATGAAGTTCATAGAACATTTGTTTTTCCAGAAACTCAGTTCATGGCGGTGACAGCATATCAGAATCAGTTGGTGGGTATCATGTCGATCTTACAGGCTTTTTCCCAAGATTGCTTTGCCTTGGTTCGAGTTAAACATTTTAGAAGTGAATTAGGCACAAATTAAGTATGTCTGTATTTCAATCCGTTCTTTTGTAATGTCTATATTAGATTTTGATTACTGC